AAGGCAGGGAAATAGTCTCTCTTATTGCCATGTCTAATATTCACTGTCAGGAGAAAAAAAAGCTATACGGTTCTTTGGATGAGCCATGTGCCTCATGTAACACACTTTAAAAATTCATAAATTCATAAAGTATAATATTAAATGAGATGTTATGGTATCAAAAAGGTTTACGATTAGGGAATATCAATCTATACTGAAAAATGCTTCCCAATAAAAATTAGGATACGTTACATTAATATTTACTTCTATTCATTATACAGAAGATTTTCCACTACTTATAAATAGTGATTTACATTTACTTTTAGTATTCACCATGCTAGGCACTAGAAGCCTAATCCCTTTGAACTCTTCATAAAGGCTTTTACCTCCCCCTACACTATCCACACCTATATTGCATTACGCTCAGGACTACTGGAAGTCTCTGTTAAAGCAGACATCACATTTCTGCAGTCCTGTTCATGAAATTAGGCCTTGTACACCAGCTTTTTTGAAGAAAGGGTCAGAGTTGACTTTACATCTAATACAGACATAGAATACACCTTCATTAACAAGGCGTCAAACTGCAGTATTTACTAATATCAAAATGCAGTACGTATTGGATGTATTTTCTGTATAAAACAATTTCCTGCTATCAATAGAGGCTACGTGTATGCAGCCTCCTAGAATGTGACTTTGCATTTCATCTTATTGTTTCTTTCAGTTGCCTTTCAAATATGCTTCATCTTCAGAGCTCCTTTAGGTAACAGCCCCACTGCATGAATCCACTTAGCCTGTTCGCATAACCACCACCTCGCTCATTTTCCATCGAGTTTTGCAAGAAATCTCGTAGCAGCACAAAAAGGAGCATACAGTGCCAGGCTCTGCACCTACCACAGTGCTCTTTTGCAAGCATATAGTTTAAATATATATACTATAGACCCAATTCTCTGCCTGTAGACACTGATGCAAAAAAAAGCAACTGTACTGAATTAAAGAGACTGGTAAAAGTGTTAAAGTCAGCCATGCTGGCAAACTGAGGCATATATTTAATTTTTTTCTTATCGGTATTTGTTATACCACATTTACTTCTATCGTGAGACACTGTGAAACAAACCAAAAAGTTCTAAAAACTTATTATTTTTTTCTTTCTTTTTTTCATCGTTCACTTACTGGAATGCCGGTGAAGGTAACTGGAGGTGACTGCCAAGAGATGCTAAAGCTACTGCCATTGGGAGTGAATTTTGCTGACCCTGGAATGTTCACCGGAGGAGTGGCCTGTGTGAAAAGAAAATATTCATCCAGTAAGAAGAACCATTCCTCTTCCAAAGCATCTCAAGGGATCTTTGACTCCTCGAAACTGTGAATCTACAAGAGACTTTCCAAGGTAGGAAAAAAAAATTGCATGGTGACAAGCATTTTAGCCTTATGAGAGAGATAATCATGGATAAGCCAGTAAGGAAGGGACATATTTACGTATCACTGTTCTTAAAACCTTGTTTAGAGAAAGACGATGGCTCTCACAAGAATCCACACAAAACCCTTAAAATCTAGATCCGATAAAAAACCACACAAAATCAAACATCATATACAAGTACCTTCTAAAATAATGCAGCTAGCAGCAAAAAATACAAACGATCACCTGTTCCACAGTGATAAACAAGGCAGTATTTCAACTGATGACAACTGGTTTAAACAACTGAAGACCAGATAGCAAGGCTTCTTCGACAACAGAGCTAATGATCACCAGTAAGGGCTGGCCACTTCTCGTTTATCCGATAAATGTTGTTAAGAATCATCCCAATTAAAACAGTCTTTCCTATTAAAAACAAGGAGCTGAAAATCATCCTTGGGATTCAAAAACCAGCTCTTCAGCAAATACCTGAAGGACCCTGGGGCCCCCTGAAGTCTTACGGTCTTCCCATATGGGCTGAAGTACCCAGTGCTGCCCTGGGGTGCAATACCCGATAACCTGAGCTCAGACCATTAAGCGTCTTTCATCTTGTGCCTTCCCTCTGCTTTTCTCACTGGGCTATGAGCCCTCAGGAACTCTTCCCTGCCCCTTTTTGAATCCCATTTAACTTACAGAGTCAGGAAATTCAAACCTTTGCAATACCCCTGCCCAGAAGGAGCACAAGCAGCCACCATGACTCTTGAATTTCAAGCTTTCACCACAAAAAAAGGTCCTTGGTTTAAACTTATAAAGAACTTGCTATTAAAAATGAGTGTTTACTTCTCCCTTTCAGTTGCCTGGGCCTGACAATAACACAACACACTTATTTAAGTAGTGTTAGTGTTTGAGGCTGCTGAAGTTGTCTCACCGCTTCAGGGAAGAGAGTGCTTCCCTGAGGTGCCAGGCAGAGAGGAGTGATGACAAACTACAACCTGACAGTCCCCATTAAAGACTGTCTTTTCAGAGTAAACAAGTGCCAAAGCAATGCCCTGGAGTCTCTCCAAGAAAAAGAAACCAAGACCACCGGATGCCTCCATCTACGGCAGCGATGCTCTGCAAGCTGCTGAGCCCGCTGACAGCTCCACGAGAATCCACGCAGACATGCAGAGTGAACTTCCACTGAGCTCCATAAAATATAAAAACCTCGCTGAAAGGCATCAAGAAAAATTTGGCAACTCCAGATAGTACCAGTAGGGCTTCATCACAACCCTGTTCAAACGGCAAGGAGTAAATGACCGCAGCACTCCTGCCAGGACGAACTGGAGGCAGCTGGGTGGGCAGCGAGGTGGCACTGTCCCTGCTCGGCATCCCACTGGGGTATCGGCCCAAAGCCCAGGTCAGCACGACGACTTCCTCGGGTATTCAAATAAGACCCGCAAGGGGAACCCTAGGTGCTGAAAGAGAGCTCGCCTGTAGTTCCTCTGTAGCTAAATTTAACAGGTACAGGCACTAGCTTAATAATGAAACGTGAAGTACGAGAAGTTTAAAATTGCTGTAACTGCAGTTGCCTAAACCACCATGGTGCTCAATGCTTTTTGCTCATGCCTAAATACCTACCTCAGACACGATCAGATTTAGACAGTCAGTCGCCTTGTTCATTTGTTTCCCAGATGTGCATCTTTGCTCATCAAGCACAGTCACCTTTTTCAGGCTACCGTTTTAGACAATCTCGTCCGTAAGGTAAGCAACCATAATATTACAATGAACTCCAGAGTTTCTATACCCCAATCTCACTTTGCTTAGAGACCTCCATCTAATTTCCAAGCAAAATACATTAATGGATAATTTATAATTATTTGTGCCAACATTGCCCTTATATCTGCCCTTATATCTCACTTTCTTCCCAGGGAGCAATCCCATCCTCTCCTCGCCCCTGCTTTGTTTCAGCTGTCAGTCCCTGGGCTGCAGAGACCCTCCGTGTCCCCCCTGCCTTCCCTCTTCACTCTGATCACCATCTTTTCACCTCTTCTAATTGGAACCCATCACCCTTGAACTTGGTTGACCAGAACTCTACTCACAATCTCAGCTGAAGTTATCCAGGGGTTTTGTACAATGGCATTAAAAATCCCCATCTCTCCTGGATATTTTGTACCCAAAAAAGACAACAACTTTTTTTTTTCCCTTCACAGCTCTATGGTTGTTGGCTCATTGTCATTTTGTACTTGATTAATGAACATAGGTTTCCTCTTTACTTAATTTTCTAACTACCTCAGTTTATAGCAGAAATATCTCATTAGTTTCTAAAGTGCAGGACTTTGCATGCTCTGCCATTAAACTGCATCCAAAACCTACTACTCTTAAGATCACCCAGTCACGTATGCATGATATATAAAGCCTTGTACTGCTGACGTCTCCTGAGTTCGTTATCAGCAAAGTTTCTTATAGTATTTGTGTAGTACCAAAATGATTTAATGCAATGAGATCAGGCCCAAACCCAGCTTTTCATTCAACTCCACTAATAACATTCCGTAGCCCTTTCAAAATAGCTCACTGCTCTTCTCCCTGCCTCCCCAGGTCGCTCTCCTACACTAAATTTAATCTCTAGCCTAACAAATACTGCCTATAGGTTTTAAGATCGAATGCTCTCCTCAAATCCAGCGGCATTTGTTCTCCTGCACTGCTTCTTTGTTGTTTACAAAGCTACCTTGTCCAAGGAAGATGTTAGACTGTTCTAGCACAATCTTTCTTTGGGGTTCCTCTGTTGCAGTTCACCTCATTTGTTGGACTTTCCACAATTTCTTCAATTACTCTTCTAAATCTTTCCTCACCCATAGGAGTGGGTCAGAGGAGAGAGTCAGGACTTGCCCGCTCATTTCCCCTTTACACCTTTCTTACTAGAGGTATTATATTTGCCATTTTCCGGTCATATGGGAAATGGCAATTAACAGATCTGTTTAGGATTCTTGAGACCCAGCTTAGGGTTCCTTTTTTTTTTTTTTCCCCTTTTTTAATAGGAATCCTGGGATGAACATTACTCAGCCTCCCTTATCCAAGTTCCTTGAGCTGTGAATTTTGGCTTTTTGCACCCAGTGAAGTAATTTCCACCTTCCTGCTCTCATTCGTATGAGAGATCGTCTTCATCACTATATTCCCACTTGATACTTTGTTTCAGTTTTGATACAGATAATATCAGAAGTAAACAAAAAGTTTTGAAATTCTGTACGTGACTCAGTCCAGCAAGTAAACTGCAAGAAATACGGTGGTACTAAAGATGCTGTTGCCACCTTCTCTCCTATTCTGTTTTACACAACAGATCAGTCACAAGAACGCTTAAATGCTACAAGTGTGAAAAAAAAAAAAAAAAAAAAGAAGCTAGTATCAATTCCCCCTCTTGCTGGTGAGAACTGAATCTCCACCCTGTCTCCTGGAGAGGGCTCTTCTGGCTGGGCTAGAGGGACCCCAGCACAGGATGCCACCGACCTTTAGGACAAGAGGAAATGGAGGAAATGGTCTCAAGTTGCACCAGAGGAGGTTCAGGTTGGATATTAGGAAAAATTTATTCACTGTAAGAGTCATTAGGCATTGGAACGGGCTCCCCAGGGAGGTGGGGGACTCATCATCCCTGGAGGTGTTCAAAAAACGTTTAGATGTGGCGCTTCGAGACATGGTTTAGTGGGTTTAGCGGGCGTGGTGGCGTTGAGTAGAAGGTTGGACTCAATGATCTTTGAGGTCTCTTCCAACCCTAACGATTCTATGATTCTATGACCTGCTCTGCAGAAGCTGCCTCCTTTGCAAGGACAACCTGAATGCTTGAGCAGGGATCCCGCCTCCTGCCTCCAACCAGAAAGCCTCGGACAGCATGGACTGCGTCAGCCCTCATCGACGAAATGAAGTATTGAAACCAGAGCAACTTGAAAACGAGAGACGGCTCAGACACTTGTAGTCTCGTGTTGTCGAAGACATCAACTCAAATCCAATTCAAGCAGCTTAAACATCTGAACTAGGATTTCCTTAGGCAAGTGCTTTATAAAGGCTGCTTATAAAAAAGGATCGAGTGAGCCTCCAAAACGCAGGGAAGACTGTCGCGACTGCAAATCCCAAATGAAGTGAGACTCTTCTCAGCAGCCTAGACCTGCTGCCTCACTCTCTGAGAGGCAGGGTTTAAGCTAGACTGAGGAGAAAGTCTTTCTCCTAGAGTGCTTCATCAGTCCCCAGACTGGCGTGCTACCCAATGCAGCTCCCACCTGAGATGCCAAGCTTCCACCCGTGCTTTCCACTACGCACAAGAGTCTGAAACCAGCCTGTGGATTCTGTGTGGTTCTCTCTGCCCTTTCACAGCGGGTCCGCTCCAGACACACAACAAAAAAGGTTTCACCTGCACAATGCTGTATATGAAAGTTACTGCATCTGGTAAGTTTAACAGAGTTCAATTCTCCGGTGCATGCACAGGTCATGGACCACACTACTTCAAAGCCTCCATTCTTCTTTTCTCATATGGTACCCAGACCAAAACATGTCAAATTTTAGTGCACTTTTAAAATTAATGCTTTCTGTCCAAACTTAGTTGGAAGTTTTCATAACAGCAGTTTTTGGATCTGATTGGATTTTTGCCATTTGCAAAGCGTTACCTCTAAGAGTAGGAGGATACCATATATGCCTTTTCATTCTTCCTGCTCTACTTCACATATGCAAACTGACATCTCACACTGCACAAATAAAGAAAATTAATTGTTTCTGGCATCCCTTGGGTACTTGCCCACAGACACACCCAGTACAGGCAGAGCTGAAACGAAGACTCTGGGAGAGATCTGGCTGACTGAAAGAGAATTTTCACAAGGAGGGAGACCACATCTGAGCACGTCGCTTTGGGCCCCCCTTATGGTCAGTGGAGAATTAACTGAGGTAGGCAGCGGGATACACAGAGCAACTCTTCTCAACCTGAAGTATGCACCTATGGGTGGCTGGATAAATAGCACCCCAAAATCCACCAGCTATGGTGGGACCACAAACAAACAAACAAACAAACAGCTAGTTCAGAAGCAGACATCTGAATGTAAATGAGATGAATCCCTTGGGCTGCCCTGAAAACTTTTCAACCCATTAAAACTAGACTTGGCTTTTTAAAACCCAAACATTGCGATCTGACATTTCTTCACACATTAATGACGTTAGGGTAATCAACAGAGTTCATTCTCACTAGCGTTACCTGGTAAGCATGGTCCGTGTGTACGAGGTAGAGGTTGGTAGGAGCTGAGCGGCTCAGAGGTGTCATCAATTTAGTCTCGGTTTTGGCACAGGAACTGTCAGGACGGATTGCGTCTTGGGTGGGAAAGGAAGGAGGAGATGCTAAAGATGGAGAGACCGGAGAAAGACTGCTTAAGCCATCAGCTACTGAGTCCGTGTTGAGCCTGATTTCTGTGTAGTAAAAATCCTCCTCTCCATCACTGTAGTCAGACTCTCCTACACGTCTGTATCAAGACAAAGAATGAAGCACTGATTAAATGAAAGCAAGAACCCCAAGGTAAACTTTAAGTTCTAGATGCCTGAGCAAATATATTCATACTGCCAATAAAGTAATATTCCCTGTTTCAACCCTACCGACTTTATCAGCATTCTGGCTGCAGGGAAGGGGGAGAGGAAAAGAAAATCATCTAGTCTGAAGGGAAAAGAGGTATGAATTAGATTTTTTTCTCTCTGTGTTATTTTTGTGTAATTCTTTGACCTTGGAGTAGATGTTTAACTTCTACGCTTCAGCTTAAATATCAGCTTCTCATTCCTAACTATTGGAAGTTAACAAGAACCTCAACGCACTTTGACTTCAGAAATGACAGAGCAGCCACAGACGGACGGGTAAAGATAACAAACATGGGCAAGGTATACTTCACTATATGCTACAGCAAACAATATGTAATCTTATCATAGGTTACGTAATTAAACCAAATATATTTGTGGCCACGATTCACCGTAACTTTCCTTGGCATAACAGAAGAAGTTGCTAGAAAACCGTCTCACCATGCAACTCACTGAGACAGAGGTAGAGAAAGGACATACCCGGGCTGGCTTGCCCGGGCAGGACTTTCTGATCCTACTCTCCAGAAGCAGACTTACTGAAGGAGGAGATGCAGAAGGTTTAACTGCCCCTGCATCCCTGGCACTATCTACAGCATATTTGAGTGCAAGCGCTAGGAGCGAAGCAGCCCAGTCAAAGGAGTAGTTCCCGGTAGGCTACATGTTATCTTGAAGTCCAAAACAAACCACTATTTTAACACACTCGTAATCCTTATGCGGTACAGAGGTAACTCACAGCTCATACCTGCGTATTTTCTCCTGAACCTTCCCCGTGGGAAATCTGACAGCCCTACGCATCCTCTTGCCTGCATGTTCACATCCGAGCTGAACGCTGGGCCTCTCCTTTCCCAGGCGTGCACCCCAAAACCAGCCTCTAGCCAGTTCTTCAGCCTGCTTGCCCGTATACCTCTACCTGCGGTCCTCCCACCACCTTACTCAGTAGAAGTCCTGGAGAGAGCATGGGGTCAGCAGGTTTGCAAGGCTCTACCAGAAGCACCACCCATCAGACTGCAGCCAGTCTCTCACCAAAACTCCTCTCTCCGACAAAGTTACAAACTCCAAATTCCAGGGAAGTTCTGCTGTTTACTTCCCCCTCTCCCGTGCCACAAAAAGGATGACCCCGTAATACAGAAGGCAAATCACCATTTCTAACTGCATTTTGAAAGAGATTTTTTTCTGTTTCTGATAGCTTCACTCTTCAGAGCATAAGCCCAACAGCAATTACTATGACCGCTGCAAGACTCCCCAGACCTCCACACCAGACTACTTCCTCATGGTCACTTAATTTTTAAGCACTGGGTAACAGATTCACACAACAGAGAGTATTTCCACATACCTAACAGGTAACTACACCTGAGACAGTTACGTCACTCAGCAAATCGCACAGATCTCAGTTGCAAACTAAAGCTCTGAAACAAGCTTGTGTCATACAAGATTCATTTGCTTTTGCTTCTAGTTCAAGAACATACACATGGAAATTGCAGCTCAGTTTCTGTTTCTTAGGTTTTTAGGTGGGGTTTTTATTTTTTGGCATTAATTTGACTCAGAACTAGCACAAACACCTGTTCTGATGTGAAACAAGGCTGGAAAGTATTCACGTAAGACATTGAAACCTGCTGTCTTTCGCACAGCGTCAGCCTGGACGTGACGCGTGGACAGCGTGTACGAAGTAAATGCCCCTGAGTTGTGCGGCCGTTAGGTAAGTGCCGTGTGACCTAGAGCCGTATTTGAACTTCTAGCAAATTTCACCGAAGTTCAGGAAAGAACTCTTAGAGTCAGTTCTCGTTCACCTTGACGCACTACTCCGCAATCTCCTCAGAAACCTCGGGATTTGAGACAGAAAAACTGAGGACAATCCAGTTCACCTCTCCAGCCAAGTGCAACTGCTCCCCTTCTATACCAAGCCCTTTAGATTTCCAACGAGACCGCTCTTACCCAAGGTGAATGGTCCGTATGTGTTTCTGAATCCCTGCAGCTGTGCTTAGTACCTTCCCACAGTTTTTCCACAGGCATTTGAACATCACCTTCATGGAATTCTGAAAATTATGAGGAAAGCAACATTAGTTGTATGGACGACAGAAAGAAAACCAAAGCACCCCAAACAGATGCACAGTTACAAAATACTGTGAAGGTTCAGAGCCTCCAACTCCGAATTTGTAACGATGTAATAGTCTCTGTCAACGGTGTCATCCTACTGAACTCAACAGAATCCCAGTGAAAAGCCGCGGGAGCAGCTTGTGACAAAACTTTACCCCTCTCCGCTCTTTGGCGTGGCTTTTCCATTGGCAAGTTCCAGCTTCTGTCGCCCCACTAAAGGAGGCAGACTATATAAAAACTTCCTATGCTTCTCTGGAGCCTTTCAAAGCACCACTGATGGGGACTTCTCACCTTAGGCAAGGCATTTTCTTAAATTAAGATCTTCCTAGAGCAAGCTCTGATGAGTATTTCCGCTCATGAATTTAGCAACACATAAAAACCACTGTGCCAGAAAACCTTAGCTTTTGCTGTGACCATATTCACCCAAGAGCTGGAAAAACCTGCTTTTATTTCAATTCAGGAGCTGCTGTGACCCTTACTTGGATAAGAGAATGAGAAGCCACCTGGCTGTGTTCAACATTTTTAAAAGAGTATGTATATGATCCCATTTTACTATTCTTGTTATATTCTTTAATGTAACTTCATTGCCCTAAACTGAGTTATTGCTGATTTAGAGCACAGCCAACAAGGCTATAACCAGCCCAGCCTTCAGAATTTTGAAGACTCTGGAGAAAGCCACTCTCAATTTAAAGCACAGTATGTGGTAACAAACACCACAGATGTTGCAGAACCGTATAGATCTTTTTAAAAGCTAATTTTACCCCCAAATGAAACCTACCTTATAAACTCTAAATTAAAAAAAATAATTCTAAATAATTTGTACATCTCGAAAATCATTTTCTCTGTCCCGCCCTTACATTCTGTCTTGTCATTACAGGACACATTATTAAAGAAAACATGAGGAAGAGTTTCAAAATACTGTATTATAATGCTATAGTTTTAGTTACATGTAAGATTAAATTAATATATTCACATAAAGCTCACCTAAAAAATAAAAAAAGGGAATAAGCACATGCTTTAGAGTTAAGTACACGCTTTACTGTGTCTTGAACAAAAGTTGACTCAGTGCTTTCTTCAATTTAGACCCTTTGGAACTGCATGCCCGTAGATGGTAAGTTTCAGCATTTGCTAGAAAGATGATGATTAGAATATCATTTAAAAAAATCTCAGCTGATGAGCTTTTTAAAACACAAGTTAGTACTGTATTCTAGTAGCATGCAGTAGCATGTTGTCGTAGTTACTTGGCAGTCTAACATCTCCTGTTTGAAAGTATGGATGCTACGGGCTTTAAAATCATACGGTTTGTATGAAAACCTTCTACTTTGGAATAAATTCCACATAAATGCCCTCTATAATTTTTTGATCTGATAATACAACTACCATTCAAATAGGTATAGAACTCTTCTGTCCTAAAATTAAATATAATCTATCTAGCAACTCTGATAGATACATTTCTTACTTTTATAATATAATACTAAATACTGTCACCAGCTCAAAACCCCACAACCAACCATGGTGACAAGATGAAGACCATGCTTATCATTTACATCTCAGAAACTCCGATATGACATCATGAACACCATACGCATCTCTATGGATGAACACAGAAGGGTTTAACATCAATCTCCAGTTGGTAAAACCAACCTCCTAGCTCCACTGTGGTTTTGGCTTTATTGTCAGTGACAGGAGTCTGCAAAAACCCACGCATTTTAACGTAATCAAATGAAATCTCACTCAGCAAAAATGCAGAACATAAACCACTCCTCCATTCTGACTAGTCCAAAAATTGCCTAATCAGGCTTAATGTTTTATTTAAGAAAATAATGGAACATAAATGGGTTGGTGAGGAACAACTACATTAGTGGAAACTTTCCAGAAAACAATTTTCTTAACGGGAAGCTGCTGGTAACTCAACATTTTCCAAATGTGAAATGGAAAAAACTTCATTGAGTAAAAGTAAGGTTACCGATCACTCTATTTCCAGGTTTATTCCTTCTGATTTTTGTGGCCCTGAAGAAGAAATAACCTGAACATTTTTATTTCAGCTTCTAAAGGTGCAAAGCTGTACTCAGATAAAGCACCATGCTGGAGTCGGAATAAAAATAACCTGTAGGAAATGCAGTTCACTTATGAAACAAAGCTTGGCAGGTAACGTTATTATTTATGTAAATTAAACATTTGCCATACAGAGCAAAACCTCTGCAAACCAGAACAGAGAGTGTAATACATAGAAATAAATAATAAATAATAAATATTTGAAAATAACTTGGAAAACTATAAAGATGGCAGCTGCAAACCCACCTGTCTCATCTCAGCTGAGCAGTAAGAGTGATGCTAATAAGCTGAACTTCAACTGAGAAGTAAAAGGCAAACCAGCACACTTCTGCATTCTGACTCCCTGTCCCACACCCCCCAAAACCGTCATCTCTTTAGTTTAAGCTAGCTCTAACTTCTAATTTATTATAACAAAGGTGGCCCCTGAAATTTTTTTTTTTTCCTTTTTAGCAAGAAGGACAAACATTTTATACCCCTCTCCAACAACCAAGGGCAGAACAGCGTGGGTCAGCACACAACCACCTTCTGGAGCAAAAGGATTGATCCGAACAGGTTTAAACAATCGGTAAAACTTCTTCCTGCTGGTAATGAAGCAATTAACTGTCTCAGACTGAGCCAGAAACAAAGTCACTAAGGAGAATAAATTCTCTGTTTCTTCTCCTTACAAAAAGCCCTCTTTCAGCTTGCTATGCAAAATCTGTCCCATTGCATTGGGAAGGAAGGAAACTTGGACTAGTGCCACCTCTTTGTTTTCTTTTTCTTCGAGAGGAGCTTCCTTGCTACTGTAACGGTGCTTTTTTGGGGTTAGTTTTGGACTCTTTTTTTAATGCTGTGTTTTATTTAGTCTGCTTTTGCACTCCTACCAAGGATAAATTTGGCCACTGCTAACACTGTATCAAAAGCCACCAGGTTTGCTCTCTCTCTCCTTTCTTCACTCCGTATGTTTGCGCAGAGAAAGCTTCACAGTATTAAGGTATCTGACATGCTGTCAGACAAAAAGCACTTTCAGGGAACAAGAAGTATTAAGGCCATATCCAGTTTTTGTGATGACATGTAAAGGCTGCCTGTTGCATCCTGCATACAAAGAATTTGCCAAAGTAGGACAGAAATCCCTGGAATGGCTAGAGGCAACACCTTCTGGAAATCACTCTAGTGTTTTCTGAGCAGGAGGCTCTGTAGAACCTCACCATCTGCCAGCAAATATGTGGTGCTGACTGCAGCATGTGTGTGCAGTAGGTGAGTAGGTTGGACGAGACAGAGCGATCAGGCTAAGTACCTACGTCAACTGGATGCCAAGGAGGGATACACACACAGAGCTGTCGGGGTGACCTGTTCCTTTCTCACAGTAAAGCAAGTCTACCGACATCCTATCTGCCCATGGGTATGGAATTTAACATGAGGCTAACCTTTCTCTTCCTAGGAATGGGTTCATCAAAGAGAAGGTTGCTTGTTTCAGCTTCATCAATACCATCATCTGGCTGGGAAGGTGTCCGAAAAGCTTTGAAGCTATCAGCTGACAGAGGTGGAGATGGGGTGGATGGGTTGGACTGGTCACTGGGAGCGTTCCAGCTCCAGTATCCACTGCTGCTGGTACTAGAAGGCACAAATCCTCCTTCTTTCCAAGATCCATTTAGGGATTCTGTCAAGAACAACAACAGCCATCACTACAACAGTATCATGTGCTAGGGCTAAGGAATTCTTTTATCTAAGGCTTAGATGCCATGTTGGTAATTAACTGTATGGTCAATAAAGGAAAGCAGAAGCACTGGATGTAGAGAGGACAACTACATTGACCCCACTGCACACAAATTATATCTTCCACATTTGATTTTTTTTTTTTTTTACAGTATTTTTCTAAAAAGACATGCTGGGCTTGGAAGAATAACTTGTTCTGGAGGATAAACCACAATAAGCAGTCAGCTATTGCATGCACGATTAAGGGAAAAACACCCTGAACTTTCAACAGGAACACACAACTGTGGTGGGGTATCAGAGCAAGCTCCAAGCCACCGTACCGCCAACAGGAGATCCCCTGGGAAGGGGACATAGCCCCTCAGCCCCAAGACACTAAGTAGATCTGCAAAAACATGATCGTCATCCCAGTACTAAAACACCAAAGAAAACCATAATTACACATAATTAACTGTCTTCTCATAATCTCCCAGTGCGCACGCCTCTGCCTAATCTGGATCTCTAAATGAGGGGGTACGTATCCTTGGAGGGATATCTCTTTTTCTTCACACAGGTGTATCGTCAGGCATCTGGTTTCGGAGGTGGGACGCAGAGACACTGGATCACCTCCACACCTACTCGCTGGAGGAACCTCCTCCTCACTGCAGCAGTTCCCTTGACAGTAGGTGGTAAGCAGGTGCTCAAACTAACAGGTTACTCTACAACACGGTGGGTGGGAGTAACAGCACTGCTTTCGCAGTCTGGGACACGGCTTGAGCCACGCTTCACGTGCTGAGGTCCTCAGGCATGTCACCTCCCCAATCCCTAAAGGGCTTTTGGTCAGAGAGGGGTACGCAGGTCATCAGCTTAGCAAAGGTTTGGCCTCAGCGTGTCCAGTGGTGCAACCACAGGCGGCTCTGCCCAAAGCTTCAGGTTCCCACAGGGCTCAGGCCCGTGTGCAGGGAGGGTTTAAGTGCAGTTTCTCCCTAATTCAGGCATTGGAAGCTTTTTCCCAATGACGCTCTCGGTGCCTGAGTATTGTGCAATACCCGACTTTGGAGTTGGCAAGCAAATAACATCTTATCTGTTTGTGAAACGTTATTTAAGTGTGAGACAGGAGTCTTTTCAAGCCAGCGCCTGCCTTTAAGAGTTCTACAGAAGTCACTCCTTCATTCCTTCTCCATTTCTTACAGATAAATTTAACCAATGACATCAGTAAGAAAATAATGTCTATCACCTGCTACCAAAAGCTTAACCCAAAACGAATGAAATTTTTTTTTTCCCCCCTCCTAATTCAGTTGGTTTTGGAGGAAACTCTTAATCATTAACATCAGCTGCTCACAAAACAGAATGCGGTGCACCATCACGTAAGCACAAAAATACCCCCTGGCACAGGCAGCAGCCAAGTCCCCGCACCTACTGGTCAGGGCCACAGAGCATAAACGGGATGAACCCTCCCTTCCCCTGCCCGGATTCCTCTTTGGAAAAGGACATCCACATTTCTGGTAGCTAATAAGTTAATGTATGAAAATGTCGTGTTTCAGTTCGTGATTACAACCTTCATGTGACTGTAATGGAGGTGTTTTTTTGTTTCTTTTAAGCATTTGTACTTGGGTCTTGTGCCAAAGCCAAGAAGTACATCTGGTGTCAACTTGTGACCTTAGCATAGCTTAAAATTTCCATTTCTTCAGAAAAACAAAGGAAACGGCACTCTTTCACCTACTACTTTGACACATTTATGGTGGCACTTTGTATTCTCAGGGTTTACAGCTTCTCCTCACCTTGCTGAGAAAGAGATGTAAATCAAGAACATTTTTTAAGTAGTATGGAAAAGACTGAATAAGGTTGACAACAGAAAAAAAAAAAACAAACACTGGTTCTCATTAATACTACCAAATCTGTCAATGTAAAAAAGTTTAAAATAGAAATAAATGCAACTTACTCTTATTTTGGGGCTCTTTTCACATTGCTGGAGTCGCGTGAAAGAGAACCAGACCAAATATTACTCAGCTGCAGGGAAACAAGGGCCAAACTCTGATCCAGTTTACATGGTGGACCATACCAGCACAGATCAGACTTCAATATTAACGCTAATAGTACATTTTTTACGTATAGGCAGAAGTCCATTTGTTTAAACAAACGTTCCTTTAAATAAACTGCTAGTTACTGTTTTTTTCAAAATTCACATTGCTGGAGTCGCGTGAAAGAGAACCAGACCAAATATTACTCAGCTGCAGGGAAACAAGGGCCAAACTCTGATCCAGTTTACATGGGGGACCATCCCCAGTAATTCCAGCACAGATCACGCTTCAATATTAACGCTAATAGTACTTTTTTTTACATATAGGCAAAAGTCCATTTGTTTAAACAAACGTGCCTTTAAATAAACTGCTAGTTACTGTTGTTTTCAAAAAGGTTGTAGAAAGAATTATCATTAGTACATTTGTAGCTCGTATTATTAAGATCAGAGCCTAGCCTTGCAACACCAAATGAGCTTTAAATTATCAAACCTTTACACTTTTATTTAAGTCTTTAGTAAGTCTTCCCTCAGGCAAAACTAAGATATTCAGGGAGAAGGTGCCCATCAACAGATTCAAAATCTCATCTGTGACTACTGAAAACCCGTGAATTACTTTTTCAGGTTAGTCTTCCCAGATTTCGGAAAACAAGCAGACAAGCTATGTGAAAAAATATCAAAGAGCACTCAGACTGCGTGAAGAAATATCAAAGGCAGTTAACTGCTACCATTTACCTCCCCGCAATTCGGAAGGGCTGCTTTGGAAGATCTTTCTAACTGACAGCTGCTAGCTAACGTGCACTGCCGCTCCTGACAAGTGTCATCTGCTCACGCTGTCAGATGCTGCCTTGCCCCACAGCAGGGCATCGCCCCGTGACCGGGGACGCAATGTGGGGCATCTGCGTGCCTCGGCCGCTCCAAATCCCTGCCTGGCACATCAGCACAAATCCATCTTCACCTGTGGTTTCGGCTGTGAGCAGAGTAGCTGGAGAGCAGGTAGGTTTTTACCCTTCCGTTGGCCTTCCCTGGGGGCTGGCAACCTCCAGCCCTGAGGCAGGACAGTCACTGGGGATGTCACTGCCGGAGGTTTCCCAGGGCTCCTCAAAGCACTGGGACTCCATAAATACTTCTGGTTTTCAGCACTGGAAAGCACACAAACAGGAGCCACAGGTGTTCATGGCTAGAATTCCAGCTAAATGGATCAAAGCTATGTTTTCTGGAAAGAAACGGAAAAACCACACTATTTGTTCAAAAATCTTTAAAACTGGGACATTTGGTACGAATTCCTTTTAAGAGCATCATTCAGTGGATCGCCCCTGCTTCCATGAAGAAGCGCAAAGATTATTTCCCTATTAATTTGCATCTGTAAGTATTTCTCAAAGTCCTCCAATTATTTACAGTAGGAGGGCATCTAGTGTCTATTTAACAGCTACAAGTAAGAAATGGCAGTCATACAAACAATGCCGAGACGTCCTAACAAGGGTGTCCTAATTTAAATTATTCCTTAAAATATAACACTTTTTAAGATTTAACTCCAGTCAAGCTTGCACAGATTAATTACATTTCATTAGTAATCTTCTTATTACCACGAACTTTTTAGATTTATTTATGTGTCTTCTGCTATACCATGAATGGAGTAGTCTTTTAAGGGATTCTGGATGTGATGGTAGACCATCAGAGAGTCACAAAGGGCACAGGAATTGAGGGTCTGATCCTCCATCGGCAGAAACAGACCTAGCGCACGGCCTCTCAGCTGAGGGCTGTCATCTGGAAGTGCTTTGTCTCATCGTAGCGTCAAGGAAAATCTGATCCAACGTCCACGAGGTGGGGACAAGAACAACTGCTGTCACGTTTACTGCATATGTGCAAATGCGAATAAGCCGTTTGGAAAATTAACGTTTCAGTGAGGTCAGGAGACCTGCCGCAGCGTTCACCTCCCATTTATGAAACAGGGCATCTCTCGTTTCATAAACTGGAGCCACTTACAGAAGAGGTTTCTTCTCCTGCTAACGCTGCACGAAAGACCTTGACTAGGCCAGAGGAAAGTTCAGTGCGATCCCCAGCATGCGCGGGTCACTGCCAGCAGACAGCCACTCACCCTCTGTCCTCCACCACGGCCTCAACTCCTGAAAACAAGTCCCCCCCATACGATACGCGGCCCTGCAGCCCCTGCCCAGGCGCTGCTCCGAAGGCTTACCGTTGGGTCGGACAGGAGGGCTGCGGACCAAAGGGCTGGTGGATAAACTGGTGAGTACCATGGCTGCTGTGACTTTATCCATGTCCAGTTCTTCTGAAGATTTTCTGAAACACAGTGAACAGGAGGCAGGAAACACATCAGCAAATATTTTAACTTTGTTTTAGTGTTTGGGGTTTTTTTTTTAATACCAGCCCAAACCTTAAGCCAGCACAGCAGAGTAATGAAAGCAAGCCACTGAGCAGAGCTCTCAAAGCTTTTGTGTTCTGGCAACCTGAGGTATCAAGTGGCTACTTTAAGCAAACCAGCTCTGTAAATAGGAAAAGCAGTGGAAAAGAGAATACACCTTCGTATAAACTTGTCAGGATTATTGTGACCCTCTGTAAGTTTGATTCTGTTCCTTTTTTTTTTTTAATTAATTTTATCTGTTCATACCCTTAAAGCTAAGTGTATACTTAAGAGTTGTTGTTTTTTTTCTTGGGTGTTGACACAGAGATGCAAAACCAGGTAAGATTACTAGGAACATTAATAACATACGCTACTCTCTGTAGGGTGAGGAAGAACTATGAACTGGAGCTAAGGGATGTGAATTTTTCTTTGTTGCTTCTGCTTAACGCTATTAACCTTCCTGTACTCTCTCCGAAAGATTGATCCTAATTTTTTCCTGGTCAGATTATAAACCAATTATTTAAAATAACTAGCAAATTGGCAGAAAAATCAGTGCAGGGCAGGGGGTGTGGGGAAGAGGAGATTTTTTTGCAGGTGTGATGGGTGCCTGAGCCAGCAGGACGGCACAGTGAGAAGAGAGGGACCCGTCACTGCCTTAGCTCGGTCTTGCCGGGAACCAGCCCTAAGTCAGAGGAGAGGTCATAGGGAAGGGGTGATGAGGGAGAGGAGGGCAGCCAGCTTTCCACGGGAGGGAGGAGAGGATCTGGAGAAGAATGGACGCTGCCAGAAATGAGGCTTCGGTGACCCACTGCTCAAGGAGTCACGTTTTTTTAGACAATGCAGAATTTTCTTAGTCTGTAAAAATGTATATACCATCACATTCCCGCTCCCAAAAGTAACTCTCTTCCTGACAATGTACTATTTCTGAAGAGTGAACATACCAAAATAAAACGACTAAACCCACTACGTTCAGCAAACTTTTGCTTTCCATCCTTGTGGGAACAGTGGAATCAAAGCCAATAGCTTCTTGTAAACGTTCGCTTTCAAACATACAACTGATCATCCAAGACCATCTTCTCCTTTACTAGAGATCAAATTAAAATTTCTTGTTACAAAAGGACAAGTTCCCCCCCTCTCTTCTGCATTGTAGGGTTTCTAGAATTTCCTCTCTGCCTTGCCAGAAGCTCTACTTAACCGATCAGGTTGAGTCTTTATTTGAAGCTCAATGTGAGAAATGTTCAGCTACCTGATGTTTTGCATCAACCGCTGATCAGCAAGTCACCAAGAGGAACAGGACATGCTGGTTGCAGCCTCCTTTCTAGAATCCCATTTCACCCATCAGGTGGAAGGCTCATTAACTGGAAACTACACCACAGTCAAAGCCTCTTACTATTTTAGTGAGCAAACCTCGAACTTGCCCATGAAACAGTTCACAGCTGCTTTCTGGCTGATGCAAGGACCCACGCCGATGCCGATGAACGCTCTCCCATGCCGCACAACAGCTTAGCTCTCATGACTGTGTTTTGCAACACAGCAGTGCCTGGAACGGAAACACTGATGATGCTTCCTGCTGC